TATTGTGGTGACGCAGGTGTTGGTGTAGTGTATTGTGATGACGCAGGTGTTGGTGGAGTGTATTGTGGTGACGCAGGTGTTGGTGGAGTGTATTGTGGTGACGCAGGTGTTGGTGGAGTGTATTGTGGTGACGCAGGTGTTGGTGGAGTGTATTGTGGTGACGCAGGTGTTGGTGGAGTGTATTGTGGTGACGCAGGTGTTGGTGGAGTGTATTGTAGTGACGCAGGTGTTGGTGTAGTGTATTGTGATGACGCAGGTGTTGGTGGAGTGTATTGTGGTGACGCAGGTGTTGGTGGAGTGTATTGTGGTGACGCAGGTGTTGGTGTAGTATATTGTGGTGACGCAGGTGTTGACGCAGTGTACCGTGGTGACGCAGGTGTTGGTGCAGTGTATTGTGGTGACGCAGGTGTTGGTGTAATGTATTGTGATGACGCAGGTGTTGGTGTAGTGTATTGTGATGACGCAGGTGTTGGTGTAGTGTATTGTGATGACGCAGGTGTTGGTGTAGTGTATTGTGGTGACGCAGGTGTTGGTGTAGTGTATTGTGGTGACGCAGGTGTTCTTGGAGTGTATTGTGGTGACGCAGGTGTTGGTGTAGTGTATTGTGATGACGCAGGTGTTGGTGGAGTGTATTGTGATGACGCAGGTGTTGGTGGAGTGTATTGTGATGACGCAGGTGTTGACGCAGTGTACCGTAGTGACGCAGGTGTTGACGCAGTGTACCGTGGTGACGCAGGTGTTGACGCAGTGTACCGTGGTGGTGACGCAGGTGTTGACGCAGTGTACCGTGGTGACGCAGGTGTTGACGCAGTGACGCAGGTGTTGATGCAGTGTACCCTGGTGACGCAGGTGTCGACGCAGTGTACCGCGGTGACGCAGGTGTTGACGCAGTGTATCGTAGTGACGCAGGTGTTGACGCAGTGTACCGTGGTGGTGACGCAAGAGAGGGCAGGTGTAGGAGGGCACCAGGAGAAGATGGCCCCCGGGGCACCCCCCCCCGGGGGGCACCCTCCCCGGGGGCACCCTCCCCGGGGGGAACCACCCCCCCCCCACAGACCAAACAAACCGGTCTAGCCACATTTTTTCCCGCCATTGACTGGTTTCTTGAGGTGTTGTCAGCGGTGGCTGCTGCCCTCCTCTTGTTCTTCACTGTCAGCGGTGGCTGCTGCCCTCCTCTTGTTCTTCATTGTCAGCGGTGGCTGCTGCCCTCCTCTTGTTCTTCACTGTCAGCGGTGGCTGCTGCCCTCCTCTTGTTCTTCACTGTCAGCGGTGGCTGCTGCCCTCCTCTTGTTCTTCACTGTCAGCGGTGGCTGCTGCCCTCCTCTTGTTCTTCACTGTCAGCGGTGGCTGCTGCCCTCCTCTTGCTCTTCATTGTCAGCGGTGGCTGCTGCCCTCCTCTTGTTCTTCACTGTCAGCGGTGGCTGCTGCCCTCCTCTTGTTCTTCACTGTCAGCGGTGGCTGCTGCCCTCCTCTTGTTCTTCACTGTCAGCGGTGGCTGCTGCCCTCCTCTTGTTCTTCACTGTCAGCGGTGGCTGCTGCCCTCCTCTTGTTCTTCATTGTCAGCGGTGGCTGCTGCCCTCCTCTTGTTCTTCACTGTCAGCGGTGGCTGCTGCCCTCCTCTTGTTCTTCATTGTCAGCGGTGGCTGCTGCCCTCCTCTTGTTCTTCATTGTCCCTGACCGCACTCCTCCCCCCCCCCGCTCTAGTGGTTGGCCATCACCTTTCTCCTGACATTTTTCTACTAGAGGAACATGTAGAGTGTTGCAGGCTGTGTAGGTCAGCTGCCTTCACTGTATGGTGGTGCTTCCCTCACTGCCTTCACTGTATGGTGGTGCTTCCCTCGCTGCCTTCACTGTATGGTGGTGCTTCCCTCGCATCCTTCACTGTATGGTGGTGCTTCCCTCGCTGCCTTCACTGTATGGTGGTGCTTCCCTCGCTGCCTTCACTGTATGGTGGTGCTTCCCTCGCTGCCTTCACTGTATGGTGACGCTTCCCTCGCTGCCTTCACTGTATGGTGGTGCTTCCCTCGCTGCCTTCACTGTATGGTGGTGCTTCCCTCGCTGCCTTCACTGTATGGTGGTGCTTCCCTCGCTGCCTTCACTGTATGGTGATGCTTCCCTCGCTGCCTTCACTGTATGGTGGTGCTTCCCTCGCTGCCTTCACTGTATGGTGGTGCTTCCCTCACTGCCTTCACTGTATGGTGACGCTTCCCTCGCTGCCTTCACTGCAGGGTGACGCTTCCCTCGCTGCCTTCACTGCAGGGTGATGCTTCCCTCGCTGCCTTCACTGTATGGTGGTGCTTCCCTCGCTGCCTTCACTGTATGGTGGTGCTTCCCTCGCTGCCTTCACTGTATGGTGGTGCTTCCCTCGCTGCCTTCACTGTATGGTGGTGCTTCCCTCGCTGCCTTCACTGTATGGTGACGCTTCCCTCGCTGCCTTCACTGCATGGTGATGCTTCCCTCGCTGCCTTCACTGTATGGTGGTGCTTCCCTCGCTGCCTTCACTGTATGGTGACGCTTCCCTCGCTGCCTTCACTGCTTGGTGGTGCTTCCCTCGCTGCCTTCACTGCATGGTGATGCTTCCCTCGCTGCCTTCACTGTATGGTGATGCATCCCTCGCTGCCTTCACTGCATGGTGACGCTTCCCTCGCTGCCTTCACTGTATGGTGGTGCATCCCTCGCTGCCTTCACTGTATGGTGGTGCATCCCTCGCTGCCTTCACTGTATGGTGACGCTTCCCTCGCTGCCTTCACTGCATGGTGATGCTTCCCTCGCTGCCTTCACTGCATGGTGATGCTTCCCTCGCTGCCTTCACTGTATGGTGACGCTTCCCTCGCTGCCTTCACTGTATGGTGGTGCATCCCTCGCTGCCTTCACTGTATGGTGACGCTTCCCTCGCTGCCTTCACTGCGTGGTGATGCTTCCCTTGGCCAGCGGTACCTCTGGGCCGTCGTGTTGCCGACGGCTGGTACTTGGGAGCAAGATTGTTGCCAGAAGAGAAGAGTTAAATATAAGGTCGTGACTATGTTGCACTGCACGAGGGCTTCCCCTGACGTGCTGTATATGTATGAGCTTCACCGAACCACCCCCCCCCCCCCTCTAGGCATGCGTTATGCACCAATGGCAGATAGAGGCGCGTGTGGGTAATGCATGCCCCAGCCCCGCTCCAACACTGGGTCGTAAATACTGCAACTTGTCATGGGTGAATTATGCAACACAGTGTCACTGCCCCACGCTGCAAGGTCTCTTCCCCTTCCTTCTACAGGCTTGTGTATTATGGGTGTGTTAATAAAAGTGTAAGAGCTTGCATTATGCACATAGTGGGGTGTACACCCAGCATGTACACTATACATCAAGCGTGTACACTGGTGCTGTGTACTGTTCAGCTATGATTACAATGTGCAGTAAAATGTTTGTGACATTGATGCTCAGTAAATGCCAGTGGAGCCTAACTAACTTTGAGAATTACAGTTATTTAAGTCGTAATAACCTGTTGTCTGATGGAGTTGAGCATTTGCCTTCAAAGAGTTAGGCGTGAGAGAAGGAAGGAAGGAAGAGTAAGGATGGTGAAGGAAGAAAGAAAGACTTTCTCTAAGAGAGAGTAAAGGTGACGGGGGGGGGGGTGGCGTGTGTGGAACACGTTTGGCAGTGTACACAGAGGTGCTGGTCTCCTTTATCAAGGAGGGATAAGGTGACCACCAGAGGCTCACACGCTAGAGGCCCTCTTGTGCTTTACCTGTGTCTTAGGCTCTTCTGGGTGTGGTGGCTTACCTTGGCACCCCCTGGTGGCTTACCTTGGCACCCCCTGGTGGCTTACCTGGGCACCCCTGGTGGCTTACCTGGGCACCCCTGGTGGCTTACCTGGGCACCCCCTGGTGGCTTACCTGGGCACCCCTGGTGGCTTACCTGGACACCCCCTGGTGGCTTACCTGGGCACCCCCTGGTGGCTTACCTGGGCACCTCCTGGTGGCTTACCTGGGCACCCCTTGGTAGCTTACCTGGGCTCCCCTGGTGGCTTACCTGGGCACCCACTGGTGGCTTACCTGGGCACCCCTGGTGGCTTACCTGGGCACTCCCTGGTGGCTTACCTGGGCACCCCTGGTGGCTTACCTGGGCACCCCCTGGTGGCTTACCTGGGCACCCCCTGGTGGCTTACCTGGGCACCCCTTGGTAGCTTACCTGGGCTCCCCTGGTGGCTTACCTGGGCACCCACTGGTGGCTTACCTGGGCACCCCTGGTGGCTTACCTGGGCACCCCCTGGTGGCTTACCTGGGCACCCCTGGTGGCTTACCTGGGCACCCCCTGGTGGCTTACCTGGACACCCCCTGGTGGCTTACCTGGGCACCCCCTGGTGGCTTACCTGGACACCCCTGGTGGCTTACCTGGGCACCCCCTGGTGGCTTACCTGGGCACCCCCTGGTGGCTTACCTGGGCACCCCCTGGTGGCTTACCTGGGCACCCCCTGGTGGCTTACCTGGGCACCCCCTGGTGGCTTACCTGGGCACCCCCTGGTGGCTTACCTGGGCACCCCTGGTGGCTTACCTTGGCACCCCCTGGTGGCTTACCTTGGCACCCCCTGGTGGCTTACCTGGGCACCCCCTGGTGGCTTACCTGGGCACCCCCTGGTGGCTTACCTGGGCACCCCTTGGTAGCTTACCTGGGCTCCCCTGGTGGCTTACCTGGGCACCCACTGGTGGCTTACCTGGGCACCCCTGGTGGCTTACCTGGGCACCCCTGGTGGCTTACCTTGGCACCCCCTGGTGGCTTACCTTGGCACCCCCGGGTGGCTTACCTGGGCACCCTGGTGGCTTACCTTGGCACCCCCTGGTGGCTTACCTGGGCACCCTGGTGGCTTACCTTGGCACCCCTGGTGGCTTACCTGGGCACCCCCTGGTGGCTTACCTGGGCACCCCCTGGTGGCTTACCTGGACCCCCTGGTGGCTTACCTTGGCACCCCTGGTGGCTTACCTGGGCACCCTCCTTGTGGCTTACAAAGCATATATATGCTGTCGGCTTGGGAGAAACTGGCTCACTTTCTAGAACGTCGTAGGTACCTGCCGCCCATCCTGCCGCCCATCCTGCCGTTAATTCTGCCACCCATCCTGCCGCCCATTCTGCCACCCATCCTGATACCCATCCTGCCGCCCATCCTGCCGCCCATTCTGCCACCCATCCTGCCGCCCATCCTGCCGCCCATTCTGCCACCCATCCTGCCGCCCATCCTACCGCCCATCCTGCCGCCCATCCTGCCGCCCATCCTGCCGCCCATCCTGCCGCCCATCCTGCCGCCCATCCTGCCGCCCATCCTGCCGCCCATCCTGCCGCCCATCCTGCCGCACATTCTGCCGCCCATCCTGCCACCCATCCTGCCGCCCATCCTGCCGCCCATCCTGCCGCCCATCCTGCCGCCCATTCTGCCGCCCATCCTGCCACCCATCCTGCCGCCCATACTGCCGCCCATACTGCCGCCCATCCTGCCACCTATACTGCCGCCCATCCTGCCACCTATACTGCCGCCCATCCTGCCATCCATCCTACCACCCATCCTACCACCAATCCTGCCACCCATTCTACCACCCATCCTGCCACCCATCCTGCCGCCCATCCTGCCGCCCATCCTGCCACCCATCCTGCCGCCCTTCCTGCCACCCATCCTGCCGCCCATCCTGCCACCCATCCTGCCGCCCATCCTGCCGCCCATCCTGCCACCCATCCTGCCGCCCATCCTGCCACCCATCCTGCCGCCCATCCTGCCACCCATCCTGCCACCCATCCTGCCGCCCATCCTGCCACCCATCCTGCCGCCCATCCTGCCACCCATCCTGCCACCCATCCTGCCGCCCATCCTGCCGCCCATCCTGCCACCCATCCTGCCGCCCATCCTGCCACCCATCCTGCCGCCCATCCTGCCACCCATCCTGCCGCCCATCCTGCCACCCATCCTGCCGCCCTTCCTGCCACCCATCCTGCCACCCATCCTGCCGCCCATCCTGCCACCCATCCTGCCACCCATCCTGCCGCCCATCCTGCCACCCATCCTGCCACCCATCCTGCCGCCCATCCTGCCACCCATCCTGCCACCCATCCTGCCACCCATCCTGCCGCCCATCCTGCCACCCATCCTGCCGCCCATCCTGCCACCCATCCTGCCACCCATCCTGCCACCCATCCTGCCGCCCATCCTGCCACCCATCCTGCCACCCATCCTGCCACCCATCCTGCCGCCCATCCTGCCACCCATCCTGCCGCCCATCCTGCCACCCATCCTGCCGCCCATCCTGCCACCCATCCTGCCACCCATCCTGCCGCCCATCCTGCCACCCATCCTGCCGCCCTTCCTGCCACCCATCCTGCCACCCATCCTGCCGCCCATCCTGCCACCCATCCTGCCACCCATCCTGCCACCCATCCTGCCACCCATCCTGCCTCGTCTTGTGGGTATTCATGTATGGTCAATTATGAGAATACTTTAGTGTGACAGAAATAAAACAGTACTTCAACAGGTTTAAAAGATCAATATTTTCTTTATTTACAGGTGAGTGCCAAAGTGGACAGGTGAGTGCCAGAGTGGACAGGTGAGCGCCACGGTGGACAGGTGAGTGCCAGGGTGGACAGGTGAGTGCCAGGGTGGACAGGTGAGTGCCAGGGTGGACAGGTGAGTTCCAGGGTGGACAGGTGAGTGCCAGGGTGGACAGGTGAGTGCCAGGGTGGACAGGTGAGTGCCAGGAGTGGACAGGTGAGTGCCAGGAGTGGACAGGTGAGTGCCAGGAGTGGACAGGTGAGTGCCAGAGTGGACAGGTGAGTGCCAGGGTGGACAGGTGAGTGCCAGGGTGGACAGGTGAGTGCCAGGGTGGACAGGTGAGTGCCAGGGTGGACAGGTGAGTGCCAGTGTGGACAGGTGAGTGCCAGAGTGGACAGGTGAGTGCCAGGGTGGACAGGTGAGTGCCAGAGTGGACAGGTGAGTGCCAGGGTGGACAGGTGAGTGCCAGAGTGGACAGTGAGTGCCAGGTGGACAGGTGAGTGCCAGGGTGGACAGGTGAGTGCCAGGGGTGGACAGGTGAGTGCCAGGGTGGACAGGTGAGTGTCAGGGGTGGACAGGTGAGTGCCAGGGTGGACAGGTGAGTGCCAGGGTGGACAGGTGAGTGCCAGAGTGGACAGGTGAGTGCCAGGGTGGACAGGTGAGTGCCAGGGTGGACAGGTGAGTGCCAGGGTGGACAGGTGAGTACCACGGTGGACAGGTGAGTGTCAGGGTGGACAGGTGAGTGCCAGGGTGGACAGGTGAGTGCCATGGTGGACAGGTGAGTGCCACGGTGGACAGGTGAGTGCCAGAGTGGACAAGTGAGTGCCAGAGTGGACAGGTGAGTGTCAGGGTGAACAGGTGAGTGCCAGGGTGGACAGGTGAGTGCCAAGGTGGACAGGTGATTGCCAGGGGTGGACAGGTGAGTGTCAGAGTGGACAGGTGAGTGCCAGGGGTGGACAGGTGAGTGCCAGGGGTGGACAGGTGAGTGCCAGGGTGGACAGGTGAGTGCCAGGGTGGACAGGTGAGTGTCAGGGTGGACAGATGAGTGCCAGGGGTGGACATGTGAGTGCCAGAGTATACAGGTGAGTGCCAGGGTGGAGAGGTGAGTGCCAGGGTGGAGAGGTGAGTGCCAGGGTGGACAGGTGAGTGCCAGGGTGGACAGGTGATTGCCAGAGTGGACAGGTGAGTTCCAGGGTAGACAGGTGAGTGCCAGGGGTGGACAGGTGAGTGCCAGGGGTGGACATTTGAGTGCCAGGGTGGACAGGTGAGTGCCAGGGTGGACAGGTGAGTGCCATGGTGGACAGGTGAGTGCCAGGGTGGACAGGTGAGTGTCAGGGGTGGACAGGGGAGTGCCAGAGTAGACAGGTGAGTGTCAGAGTGGACAGGTGAGTGCCTGGGTGGACAGGTGAGTGCCAGGTGGGACAGGTGAGTGCCACGGTGGACAGGTGAGTGCCAGAGTGAACAGGTGAGTGCCAGGGTGGACAGGTGAGTGCCAGGGTGGACAGGTGAGTGCCAGGGTGGACAGGTGAGTGCCACGGTAGACAGGTGAGTTCCACGGTAGACAGGTGAATGACAGGGGTGGACAGGTGAGTGCCAGGGTGGACAGGTGAGTGTCACGCTTGACAGGTGAGTGCCAGGGTGGACAGGTGAGTGGCAGCTGGCAGGGAGTGGCAGCTGGCAGGGAGTGGCAGCTGGCAGGGAGTGGCAGCTGGCAGGGAGTGGCAGCTGGCAGGGAGTGGCAGCTGACAGGGAGTGGCAGCTGGCAGGGAGTGGCAGCTGACAGCGAGTGGCAGCTGGCAGGGAGTGGCAGCTGGCAGGGAGTGGCAGCTGGCAGGGAGTGGCAGCTGGCAGGGAGTGGCAGCTGGCAGGGAGTGGCAGCTGGCAGGGAGTGGCAGCTGACAGGGAGTGGCAGCTGGCAGGGAGTGGCAGCTGGCAGGGAGTGGGGACAAGAAAAAAATAAATAGAGTCACTGGGATGTGTGTGTGTGCCGTGGGTGTGTAAATATTGACAGTGGCAGCTTGACAGCCTTTGACTGTGAGGTCCGGCTCATTCCTCAGCCCCCCCCCATCCCTTCCCCTTCCTTCCCTTCCTCCTTGCAAGCCCCTCACCCCTCACCCCTCACTCCTCACCCCTCCTTGCTGGCTCCTCCTCCCCCCAGGGAGAGGCGCGCCACTATCCCAGCCGGGTAGGAGGGCTAGTGACAAATCTTAACTCGTGCTTTATATACCACTTTATCTACGTTCCTTCACCTGTACTTCCTCATCCATCTGTTCACCTTCTTTCCCCCTCCGCCCCCCCCCTAATAAAAATCATTGTCATCCTTATTTCTCCATCGTCATCTTGCCTGTGTCTATGGTCGATGGGGGGGGGGGGGTGAATGCGTGACTTGTGATGCTACTTCTTTGGCCAGTGGATAGGAGACAGACTAAGTGTCTTCTATTCTCGTGGGATGTGCTCTAATTCAAATGTTAGATGAACATTGTGTTTATACTGCAGTAGTGACCTGGTTGCTAAGGCGACAGATCAATTATGTCAGGCAATCCGTCATTGATCACTTCGTTTGCATCTTTAAGTATCGTGTACGTCACTGTCATGTCTCCTGCGGTTATCCTTTCATCCCGTGTTTATGAGGGCCAGTTCTCTCATTCTGACACCTCTGTTTATGTCTCTGCTGGCACCACTGTTTATGTCTGTTGGCGCCACTGTTTGTCTGCTGGCACCACTGTTTATGTCTGTTGGCGCCACTGTTTGTCTGCTGGCACCACTTTTATGTCTGTTGGCGCCACTGTTTGTCTGCTGGCACCACTTTTATGTCTGTTGGCGCCACTGTTTATGTCTGCTGGCACCACTGTTTATGTCTGTTGGCGCCACTGTTTGTCTGCTGGCACCACTTTTATGTCTGTTGGCGCCACTGTTTGTCTGCTGGCACCACTTTTATGTCTGTTGGCGCCACTGTTTGTCTGCTGGCACCACTTTTATGTCTGTTGGCGCCACTGTTTGTCTGCTGGCACCACTTTTATGTCTGTTGGCGCCACTGTTTATGTCTGCTGGCACCACTGTTTATGTCTGCTGGCACCACTGTATATGTCTGCTGGCACCACTGTATATGTCTGCTGGCACCACTGTATATGTCTGCTGGCACCACTGTATATGTCTGCTGGCACCACTGTATATGTCTGCTGGCACCACTGTATATGTCTGCTGGCACCACTGTTTATGTCTGCTGGCACCACTGTATATGTCTGCTGGCACCACTGTATATGTCTGCTGGCACCACTGTATATGTCTGCTGGCACCACTGTATATGTCTGCTGGCACCACTGTATATGTCTGCTGGCACCACTGGATATGTCTGCTGGCACCACTGTATATGTCTGCTGGCACCACTGTATATGTCTGCTGGCACCACTGTATATGTCTGCTGGCACCAATGTATATGTCTGCTGGCACCACTGTATATGTCTGCTGGCATCACTGTATATGTCTGCTGGCACCACTGTTTATGTCTGCTGGCACAAACCTCCTGGTCAGTTTCTAAGTTTTACAATTGTCTTTGTTTAATATTAGGTGCAAGTTTCCTGCAAGCGCCGCATACTCTAGTGACGGTCTCACGTAGGTCATAAACAGAATCTAGATAAGGAATCATCATCCAGATTCCTAAAGGCTGGTCCAATATTTGCATATTCTGCTTATGGTCTCTTATATCAAGGAAAGCTTGATGTAATGTTGACAAAACTGGTTTCAGACGAAAATAAAGAATTTCTGGTCATTTTTTCCCTCTGGGCCCTTTCATTATTACCTTGTGTTTGCTTGGGTTCATTTCTGGAAGCCATCGATTTGACACTTCAAAGCATTGTGTAATATTCTGCAGAAATCCTGAAGCATTATTTCTCACGAGTCATAGCCACGTATCAACATTGTAAGTCTCTCACAGAATTGTACAAAAGGAATACCTGCTTATGTATATACATCTAGTGTTGTGAAGGTATCTTGAGCTGAGGGTGAGACAGTTGTCGTGGACACTCCTTCCAGTTCTTCCTGTGTCAGGTATATGTCTGACACTCCCAGTCCTTCCTGTGTCAGGTATATGTCTGACACTCCCAGTCCTTCCTGTGTCAGGTATATGTCTGACACTCCCAGTCCTTCCTGTGACAGGTATATGTCTGACACTCCCAGTCCTTCCTGTGTCAGGTATATGTCTGACACTCCCAGTCCTTCCTGTGTCAGGTATATGTCTGACACTCCCAGTCCTTCCTGTGTCAGGTATATGTCTGACACTCCCAGTCCTTCCTGTGTCAGGTATATGTCTGACACTCCCAGTCCTTCCTGTGTCAGGTATATGTCTGACACTCCCAGTCCTTCCTGTGTCAGGTATATGTCTGACACTCCCAGTCCTTCCTGTGTCAGGTATATGTCTGACACTCCCAGTCCTTCCTGTGTCAGGTATATGTCTGACACTCCCAGTCCTTCCTGTGTCAGGTATATGTCTGACACTCCCAGTCCTTCCTGTGTCAGGTATATGTCTTCTTATATGGTATTGTGACACTCGGTATATGTGCTTCCCTCTCCCTCACTCTCCCTTCCTCTCCCTCACCCCCTCTCTCTCCCTCACCCCCTCTCCCTCACTCACCCCCTCTCCCTCACTCACCCCCTCTCCCTCACTCACCCCCTCTCCCTCACCCTCCTTCACCCCCTCTCCCTCACTCTTTCCGGAAAATTCAGATTTACATGTTCCGTCATAAATATGTAGCTTAACATTAAACATATTCACATTTTTTGGTATAATATATATGATAGAGCAGACGAGGCGTAGAGGTGTACAGGTGTGAGGTATATCAGCTCTACACATGGAATATGATGAACGTCATTGCTTATTGAGCACCAGTCTTGAACATGTGAGAGAGTAGTTGATCGTTTGGTAACTATACTTTGGTAATGGTGTATGGTTTGATA